GTCTTTTGGGTTTATAATGGTTTGTAACGTTGCACCTTTTTAGTCTATAGAAGGAAATAATGATTGAAATTCTTGGGAATTTCAAATGTTGCCTGGAAAATACAAGGTGAATTTGGCATAGATTAATACTTGGTATTAAATCTGCCATATTGAGGGTAATTGTTGACACACTAAAAGTACAGTCCAAATTAAATAGCCCAAAGAGTGAGGTCCAATTGGGGAGTCCAGGGCAAAAGCCCAAATAGGATTATTGGTGAATGCAGAGGAAGCACATGAACACAGTAACATCATCGCCCACGCTTGCAATACGTCTAGAATCTGAGCGAATGGAGTGCCTTACGGTCGCCCAGAGCCATGACCTCGTTCTCGCCCAAACCTTCGAGTCACCCAGAATATTAACAATATGAGATATTATGGTTATCCAGAACAGCAGTTATTGAAGCAGTTATCGAGTAGACTTATCACATTCTATGATTCAAGGAGCTCATTTGAAGGCGGTTGAACGACAAGAGTAATGGCAGCAGTTAGAGATGACAGTTCCACAACAAGTTAGCCACCATAAAGAAAATTGGTAGTTATAAAGCAATCAAGCAGTTTTCAAGCGGTTTGTCACAAAAGAATCATTATAGGAATATAAAAAGGAAGAGAAAACATAGAGTAAAAAACCCCGAATCGAGCACTCTCAAATAGAGAATATGTAGTTTCAATTTCTTATATTAATTTTAATTATCTATTTTCAGTGCTCGTGTGCTTGCTCCCCTTGGAGGCATTCTGTTTATTTCTAATTATAACTCTCATCAATAAAGCACCACTTTTTGGGAGTTTGTCTCAAGAGATTTGTCCCTTACACAATCGTCTGAATTCTTTTTTAATTGTTAGCGACTACCCGCACGAAACAATAAACATCAAATCTCACATGAATGCTTGCATGCCTAAAATAGTCCAGAGTTCTTTTACCAGAAATTAAGCCCACAAATCATTCCATAATGCATGTTTTGCTCATCAGTTCCATTAGATTTCTATGTTGTTCAAGATTTTTAATCCTACGTATTAGCAAATTTTCCATGCCAATACACACGTGAGAGCTCAAAGGTACGTAATTTATTTTTAAAAAAAACAATAATGAAAAGACATTTTTAATGAATAAATCACAGATTTCTTAAAATTTCTTACAGAATACTGCAGAAAGAATGGACCCAATTATATTCTACCACACTCAACCTCGGAGAAAATTTATGAATACTTATGGCATGTTTGGTAGGGATGACTAAACTATATTAGGAAGAAAAAAAAAGTTAAAATTTTGTTTATCATATCGTTCACTGTCCAACATTGCTCATTGTCTAACATTGCATAGCAAACATACAAAAAAAAAGTCATTTATACTAGTTATATTATCCCGTCTGAAACCATCTTTACCATCTGCTTTGAGTTATACGTTAATAGTTCAAAATGACATTTTTTTTACTAATACTAGAACATAGAAGAATATTATCCTCCTTCATCCACTATAATACTATCCACCTACGACTATCCGTTCTAATTTTATACTATATTACTCGGCTGCATGTGATTTTCTTGAAATTTGGGAAGTGCTTGGACTTTCGGAAATATTTTCAATGTGGAGATGAGTACATATATCTGAATCCATCGCCAAATCCATGCAATTTTTAGGAGTGGAGAAGATTGAAATTGATGCGTTATTGTAAATGTAAAGGAGGAAAAGCTAATGTTAGTGAAGTGGGAAGCACGTGGATTTGATTTCTGCAATTCTGTCCAAGGGGAAAAAAGAAGGAGAAGATAAAGTTATTATGTCACTGAAATTCTTTGAAGATAAAAAATAGATTTTTTTTTTTTTTACACAACCTTAAAAGTAGTGTTAAAACGGAGAAGAGTGTCCGTGATGCACAAAGTTTTTCCTTCGTGTCTGGTGTTTCCGTGTGGAC